TGTGCAAAATTTTATTATGTATATGTGTGTACTATATATGTGATGGAAGAGGAAAAGTATTGTATATGTGATGGAAGAAGAAAGTAGCAACGGTGGCGGTGGCGGCGACAGCCATGAACACAATCATCAGTGCCCTAAAAAAATTATGGACATTTGGAGTTGCGAATTGGTGGTTGGTTATTATTTAGTTGATCAATTTGTTGATGAATTTTCTGGGTTCTTGATTACAGTAGGCCAAATTGGTGAATTGGGTTGTCATCTTTTCTTCCTCTGGTGAAGTAGGCGTGGTGTATTTTTTTAGCTACTTTTTTTAGTCATTTTACAAAATATTAATTTATATATATATATATATATTATTAAATGTGTAGCTAAAGGTATTTTAAGTCATAAATATGCAAGTAGGATTTATTTACACAAATATCATAGTTTAGGAGTATTTTTTTTATAAGTGATGGGTAAAATATGCGTGTAAATATATTATAAGGTGTTTTTTGTACATGACCTCCCTCTATATATATATATATATATATATATATAATAAACAAGTGAATTGGACTTGGGTGACTGAACCAACGGACTAGCAATAGTTTTGAGTCGTTTTTTGATGCGTTGAAGTTGATTTGAAGGTTATTTGGCAATGGACCCCACATGATGCAACACAGAGTTGGGGAACTATTTGGCCTAAATATCACGTCTTACTATGAACTTAATGGAATATAATTTCCATATGCTATAAAGCAACAAAAAGGAATATGGACTAACCTTTTTATGGACAATGTAAACGCATTTAATATTCTTAGATGTTTCCAAGAACCAAATCTCCATTCAGATATAGTTTTTCTTCTATATGTGATGTATGTGATGTAACGCTTTCGACTATCAGTTCAAATGAATCAAATTTGTCCGATATTAATCAGAATCATCTCATTAATAGTTATGTATTTAGATTATTTAGGCACTCACTAATAAAGATTTATAATATCCTCACTATTTATATGCTTTTAAAAAAATATATGTCATCTTTTATTAAAGAGATTAGGAAAATAAAATAAATTAAATCCTACCCGAATGAGATCCGGTAAAATAAGTTAAGCAATTTTTTTCTTTTTTTTTAAGGGTTTTTTTTTCATAATTGTTAATGTATAAAAAAAAGAAAAAAGTAATTACAGGCTCACCGAGGGCATACCCTCAGAAAAGAATAAAATGATCAATTAAGATCATAAAAAAAAAAATGCAATGAAACTGATCAAACAATGATCTGCAAATTAAGCAAGATCGGAAATTGAAACACTATAGAGATCTAAAACTTCAAATAAAATTTGTCTAGCAATATCTTGAAAAGTCTAAGATAGATGACCATGAAGCCTTCTATTTCTCTCCTGCCAAATGCTCCATAGCCCAGCCACCATTACAGTATGTATCATTTTGCTTGAGTGCTGAAAGAATCAATTCCAAAGTTCTTCAAAAGTAAAAATTTCAGAAAAATCAACATTCCATCCCATTATATCTGCTATCCACTTCCAAAAATTCCTAGCATAGGAGCATTCAACAAATAAATGATTCCTTGTTTCACTCTCCTGTAAACAAATAGAGCACCTTGGAGCAAGCTGCACTTTCTGTAATACCCCGATAATTTTAAAAGATTTATTAATTAGGATTAATTATTTTATTTTATTTTTCAATGATTTATTTTATTTTTTTGAGTGCTAGATTAATTATCTTATTTTAATTAAGTTATATTTCGTACTTATGTATGATGATTGATTGTTTGTGTGGTTGATTATTGATTGAATTATTAGTGTGTTGATTTTATTGGTATTATATGACTTAGTTGTAAATTCTTGTTTGTTTATGTGCTTCATGTAATTAGTTATTTTAATTTCTGTATTTAATTAATTATCTTATTTATTTAAATTAATTGAATTGGGCTTAAGGAAAGTTGGACCAAAAGATGTGGTCTTGGGCTTGTATGAAACCTTATTGGGTTAATTAATGAAGGTCCGTGGTTATTTAATTATTTAAATGATCACTTTTGTATCAATTATATATATATATATATATATATATATAATTATATATGAATATAATTAATTAATAATTGTTATGGAAAGATATATATATAGATATATATTTATTGATATTTATAAGTATATATGATTTAATTAACTAATGAGTTAATTATGGAAGGAATATATATTTATATATATATATGTTTATAGATATAAATTATTTAAAGATTATTATTTTAATTCATAATACTAGTTGGAATAGGATTTGGAATTTAAGGTGTATAAAAATACACATAAGGCTTTAGGGTTAAATGTTTTACACGTTAGAAAAATAAAACAGTCAGAGAGAGAGGAAGAAGAAGGGCTGACAAGGAGGAGGTCGGATCTGAAAAGGAGGACGTCGGAATTGGAAGAGATAATTAAAGCTTAAAGCGTCGGTTTCGTTTCGAAACCTTCAGGCGAGTTTTCTTTAATTTTCCTCTTAGAACTCATAAGGGTTTCACCTTGAGTATCAAAATTAGGATTAAATTTATTGGTTTAGAAATCATGGTTAGATCGGATTAATTAAAATAATGAATTATTATATTTTGTTTTCTTTTAACTTTGGATTTTAAATTGTTGATGTATGTGTGATATTTATGTTTAAATTCAACTGTTTTATTTGATCTATGATCAGGAGGGTTATTTAGGGTTTATAGATTTTCTGGGAATTTTCTATATTTTTTTGGAATTTTCTGGTAATTATATATATATTTTTGGAATTATATTTGATTTATGGATAATATTTGTTTGGAAAATACAAAAATATATATACTGTGTATATATTGGCGGCTGGGTTAAACAGGGCATCAAAAAGGGGGTTATAGTTTGGTGTGGTGCAGCACACAATAACTTTGTGTGCGTGTGAATCAGAGCCTTTGAGAATTAAAAATAATACATAGATTAATTCAGTGTGGTACGACGCATGGAACTATGGTGTGCAACAAGTTAAAGGCCATTGAATGCAATTTGATCAATGGAATAGATCTGGTGTGTTGCGGGTAACATTAATATGGTGCGCGCAAGAATTGGAGGGCTGAGATGCGCTGATGGGGAGCGGCTGATCCGGTGTGGTGCGCTCATGTGGTAGCGAGGAGAGTGGCCAATCAGAGTACGCCACATCAGCCAAAAGAAGGAACAGGCGCGTGGCAGCGCGTGTAACGCGCGTGGGGGCGCGTGATGGAACCTGCCAGCTAAGGTGGCGCGTGGAAGCGCGTGAGAGGTGTTTAGGAGCGTGTGGTGGTGCGTGGGAGTGCGTGAAACACTGTTTAGGGTCCTGTTAAGGTCCTTTGAGGTCCAGTGAATTTCCAGAATTGGTTTTAAGGCCATTGGGGTTGAAACAACCATTAGAGGAGGTATTCTTGGTTTCCTGAAAGCCATAGAATGTTACTACAATGATTGATAGCATTTATTTTGCGTAAATATAATAACTTATTATACTGTTATGGAATGTGGTGTATATATGTATATAATATAATTACATATGTATACGTGTATACATGGACTTTATTAAAGTATGATCAGTATATATATATATATATATATATCTAAGATTTAAATAATCAAGGATTATTAGGGAAAGATTATACACATATATATTATATAATATATGTATTTTAATTAAGATTGTGATATGCTTACAATTGGCATGAGATGACTATGTATGAATTAACTATCATTGAGTCTACAGTTGGTATATGGTTGAATTGTAGGCATGGATGAGTTGCCATAGGTGTAAATATATATTGCCTAAGTATATGTATGAATAAAATATAAATAGGAAGTATGGATGAATTGCTAATTAAATGTATGAATAAATATACCTGTGGAGGCATGGTTGAATTGCCAATGTATAAATATACATACACGGAGGCATGGTTGAATTGCCAATGTATAAATAAATATACTTATGGAGGCATGGTTGAATTGCCAATAGATAAATAAAAATATTTACAATGGCATGGTTGATTTGCCAAAGCATAATTACGTTGTTATGTGTTAGATGATTAAAATATCATCTATGGTTGTTGTATGTATGGATTGGATTAGGGTTAGATATTCTTAAATGAGAATAGTTTAGTACTTACTGGTTAGTGTATTATTTTACATTAATAAAATAATATTGGGGAAGACGTGGATGATTTGTCAAAACTTGGATTTTGGATATGTGATTTAAACAATTAAAATCATTATCGGGTTGGGATTAAATAGAGTATTGCTTTTATTATAATTTGTTGTTTAAATGATTAAACAACTGACTAGGATGGGATTAAGGTCAAAGGAGTTTTTATAAAATGAAATGGTAGATTGGTCTAGGTATGAATATTATTTTAATAATTATTTAATAGGTATGAAAATTTAATAAACCTATTAATGGATGTGATTAGTATAGTATATATAATTATATATAGACATGTATATCGTGCTTTATTAAAGTTAAAACTTTATTAGGTTTGGTTTTGATCAGAGATGATCTGCTTATTGGTTTTCAGAGGCCTGGTAGAGTGAACTTGCTCGTAGGGTTTAACCCACGATTTATTTTTCAGGTTATTAGAGGTTCCAGTCTCGAGGTTGAAGATTCGCAGCTGGGAGACTGTCATTCGTTTATTCATCTTGTGTACTTTTAAATAGTATTGGATTATTGGATAATGTTTTAAGGGGTCCTTGAGTTATGGGATTTCCGAATTGTAATTGTTGGAGAATCATTAAGTAATATTTATTTATTAGTTTTCTTCAGCGGTTTATTTATTCTTTATTATTCATCTTTGTATTCTGTGCTTGTTAAATACTTAAATTGTTTTGATATCCCTTGATTTTGTGCGCGGACTTGATCAATCCGTGTTCCAAAATTAGGGGGTATTACACTTTCCGCCTTTGGAGATTAACCATTGTTGGCAACTTATTATGGAAGAGAAAAACACAATGAACAGACCACCTAGGCCGAGCTTTACCCTAACACATCCTGTACCATAACACCTCTGGATGCATTACCCTACAGCCCTTCCAAGCATTTTTAAAAGAAAATGAACCTCCATCCCAAGTATATTTATCTTCTCTGTCATGAATAACCAGTGTTTGAATATAATCTCTGATAGGATGAAAAATGGTGTCCTGCAAAATATGTAAATTCCAGCCTCCATTATCCATAAGGCTGGACAAAAAGGAATCCCAAGCAAAACCCAGTCTTCTAACAATACGGTGACCAAATTTCTGAAGTAAAGAATGACCTTCACACCATGGATCAGACAGTAGCTTGAAAATTTGCCCATTTCCAATTGAAAATTTAATATTAAGATGCATAACATCCCTTATATTTATCAAATTTTTCCATAAGATAGAATGAGAGATCTTGGGGACTGCATTCCAGTAAGTAGATAGAGAAGAATATCTGTTTTTGAACCATGGAACCCAAATCCTATCTTTGCTAAGAATAAAATCCCAAGCTAATGTACATTGAGCTGCTTGTTGCACATCTATCAATTTTTGGATACCCAAACCTCCCTCAGCTTTAGGTCTACACATAACATCCCAACTTAAGAGGTGCATTTTCTTCAATGTGTCTCTGCTTCCCCAAATAAAGTCCCTGCATAGCTTTTGAATCTGATTGAGGACTGATATAGGCAATGTAAAAACACTGCACCAGTACAAACAAGTCGGAGTGATAACTGTCTTGATCAATTCAGTTTTCCCTGCTACTGAAAGCATACCATTGCACCAATCATTGATTTTATTTGAAATTTTATCCAATAAAACTGAACAATGTGGCTTCTTTAGACCTGTGGAACATAGAGGTATCCCCAAATATTTCAGAGGTAAGCATTCTTCCTTACATTGAAGCAGATTCAAAATAGATCTTCTTCTTCTCACCGTTTTAGAGAAAATTAAACTACTTTGGTAGTTAATTTGTAACCCAGAAGCAGCTCTGAATATCTGAAAAATTTCTTGAAGAGTTCTAGCATTTGGAATAGAAGCCTTACAAGTTATAAGAAGATCATTTACAAAGAAAGTATGACAGATAGAAGAATGTGCTTTCAATGCTGTATGTGACAAAGTAATCATTCCCTGAGCAACTTCAGAATTCAATAATTGTGTAAATTAATCAGTGACCAATGTAAAAAGAAAGGGGGAGAGAGGACAGCCTTGTCTAAGCCCCTTTGTAGGTTGGATGAAGCCTGTTGGAGATCCATTCAGCAAGATAGAGTATCTAATAGAAGCCAGAATTGTAGAGATCCATGTGATCCAAGTATTACTGAAACCAGCTGTAACCATAATCTTTAATAGAAAACTCCAAGAGACTGAGTCAAAAGCTTTGGAAATATTAGCCTTCAAAGCCATTGTAGGATGCTTGTTTGTAAATTCACTAATCATTTCATGCCCCCCCATAATAATAGCATCTTGAATCTTCCTCCCTTTTATAAAAGTATTTTGTTCTAATCTAACCAATTTAGGAAGAACCAGAGCAAGTCTAACAGCTAAGATTTTTGAAATGATTTTGTAAATTAAATTGCATAAAGCTATAGGCCTGTAATCTTTGGGACTAAATGCATTTCCAGTTTTTGGAATGAAAGTAATGAATGAGCTACTAACTCCTAAAGGAAGCTTGCCTGTGAGAAAGAAATGATGGACAGCAACGCAAACTTCTAAATGGACAGTAGACCAAAAGGTTTGGAAGAATCGAGCTGGGAAGCCATCTGGACCTGGGGCTTTATCTGGATTACAATTCATCACCACTGTTTTGATTTCTTCATTAGTTATAGGAGTATCCAATATGAACTTGTCATCCATTGACAACTGATATCTAGCCCAAATATCAAAGGGATGATCACTTCCAGAACTTTGAAATAATCCCTAATAATAGTCCTCAAAGATCTTTCTAACCTCAGCTGGTTTAGAAGTGGAATGGCCAATTGGTGTTGTAATAGTAGTAATGGCATTGAATTGATGATGTTTTTTCATCTTATGATAGAAAAAAGCAGAACATCTATCATTATCCTTCAACCACAAGGTTCTAGATTTTTGAGAATATAGAATTTCTTGAGCAGACATAGCGTCTTGATATATGTCTCTAGCTTGTTGTTCCTTGACAAACAAATCGTCTGAAGGATTAGCTAACAGTTCCCCCTGAATATCTTCCAAGTTTTGCCTTGAGTTATCAACCCTCTGATGAATATCCCCAAATGAATTTTTATTCCAATCCCTAACAGTAGCTTTAAGGATTTAACGTCCCTATTTGATTATCTATCTGAATTTTTTTAAGGGTTCAACGTCCCTATTTGATTATCTATCTTTTCAGCAGGGCCTTCAGCCCTCTTTCTCCACCATTTTCTTTCTTTCAAGCCTCTAGTACATCATCATTCAATTGACAAGAATATTTGAAGGAGGTATGATCCAATTTTTTTTTTCTTGTTTCACACATCATCATTCATTTTTTTCCCTCAATAATAAATCAGTATTTAAATAACCAAAACAATAAAGAAAAGAGAGAGAGAAACAATTGTGAGGATCAAATTCCATTTATTTTTTTTTCCTTGAATAAAAAATCAGCATTTAAATAACCAAAAAAAAAAAAGAAAGAAAGAAACAGATCAGATTTTTGGGAGGAAAAAAAAAAAAAATTAAGGGACATAATCTAACGGGAAATTTGGTTTTTGAGTTTTGTGTTAATATGTGTGGATCCTTAATATATAATCTTTCATGGAAAGCCCCCTTCTAGTAAAAGAACCCTAAATGTATAGGAAAAAAAAAAAAAAAAGGTCATACCTCCTTAAAAAATTCATGCCAATTAAAATGATGATGTCTAGGATTAGAAGCTTGAAAGGAAGAAGATGGTGGAGAGATAAGGCTGGAGGTGGTGTTGAAAGGAGAGAGAACCAGAGAACGATGGTTGAACCCCCGTGAAAAAAAAAAATAAAAAATAAAAAATAAAGTGTTGAAACCACTTTACCCGATCTCTTTAATAAAAAAGGATGTGTTTTCTTTTCATTGGACCATATAAGCGGTTATGAATATTGTAAATTCTCACAAGTGAAGGCCTATGTATTTATTGTAGATCCTCATATACACCATCTTAACTTATGATGTGAATCAATAATAAATGAATATGCTATATTTGATTACCAAATCAAAGATGGTGGATAGATACTCACTTCACCAAATCAGATGGTGATTTCATTATCATCTATTATTTGATAATTAAAATAGGAAATACCCACATACCAAATGGTGATTTGATTACCATTTTTAATTTGGTAATTAAAATAGAATGTGTCTATTTATTATTGGTTCACATCAATGGTTAGTATGGTGTAAATCCTCATTAGCGAAGACATAAGTATTATTCTAATTATAATCAATTAATTTGATGTGAATATGTCATATGAGAATTCCAAACATCACAAATATAATTTGTGATTTAGTATCTTGAATTAAGTGACCACTTATTTGGCATATTTTTGTATTTTAAAAAATTTATTTGACAGCCTCCTAAAAAGCAATTTCTGTAAGTATATATTTTTGTTTGAGAAACTATGAAAAGCTGCAAAAGAGAATATATACACGCGCACACATGAGTGCATGAGAGAATATATGTATGTAATGGGTATATATATAATAAAAAACTAATAGAGGAAAAAAATTAGAGATAGAGATAACCCATTTTGATTGTTATGGTTTGCTTTCACATTTTTCTTTTATTGCTAATTTATTAATTAGTAACAGAAAACACAAATGCATAAAATAATGGGCAAAGTACAAAAAAACCTCTTTCAGACTTGTAGCTTTTTCCAGTAAACCCTTATTTTTTTTTTTTTACCAAATAACCCCCTCGACTTGTAGCCCTTTTTCAATAAATTTTCATTGTCTATTTCTTTACCAAGGAACATCCCTCAACTATCTGGAGGGATAAAAGAGTTGATATTTCGACCAAAATGCTATTTTATTTAAATCTTGATTCTCCCAAACTTTAAAAATTTATATCTCACAAACCGTATATTTAAAAATTATAAATAATATATGACAAAAAGCTTATGAAATAAGAATTCCAGAAATATAAGATTTGTATAACAAACCTTTATAATCAGAGAGAAATATGCAATCTAAAAACTACTCCAACAATCTTATTTTATTTTGAAAAAATAACATAATCGAGATATTTGTAAGAAAATTTTCAGAATTAATTTATTTATATATGGACCCAAATATATTAAAAATTTAGCCTCAACAGAGATCGATTTCACGAGATATCATATTTGGCGTCAAAGTATTTTTATTCTTTTATAGACTCACAATTTTAAAAATAATAATAATAATGAATATTCGGTCTTTATTGGGGCTAATTTTCATTATATGTTATACTCAATATAAAAATGAATAATTCTAAAAATTTTCTTGCAAATAACCCGAGTATTTTATAAAAAATAAAATAAAATAAGATTGTTGCTGTAGATTTTTAGATTGTCTATTTCTTTTTGGTTATGAAGTTTTGTTAAATAAATCTTATATTTCTTGAATCTTTATTTTTTAAGCTTTATGTGCATATATTATTTGTAATATTTGGATGTACGATTTGTGAGATATGAACTTTTGAAGTTTGGGAAAATTAAAATTTAAATAAAAGGTATTTTGGTCCAAATTTAAACTCTTTTACCCCCTTAGATAGTTGAGGGGGGTTCTTTGGTAAAAAAAAAATTTAGATAAGGGGAATTTATTGGAAATTGATATAAGTCGAGAGGGATTTTTGGTAAAAAAATTAGATGAGGGGGTTTACTGAAAAATATTATAAGTCGATGGGGGTTTTCTATACTTTGCCCCTAAAATAATATAGAATGTGTAATAATATCAAAATATAGGATATTTATGTCTTTTTAAATTTACCATGTACATATCTCGAATAAAATTCGAGATGTGAATGCAATACATAATATTATCCGCTTTTGCCTCCGCCGGATTAGAGGTTTCTTGGGAGGCCATCTATCCTGGTACTACTCCAGAAATAAGCATGCTTAATTTTGGAGTTCTGATGGATTAATGGCTATCACGGTTTTAAACGCATTGTGTTATAGAATGGTGTTGAACATTACAAATAACACTTTATCTTCCTCAGGCAATGTGGGATCATGACATCCTGTAGTGTAGCCTGCCAGTGTAGTACCTTATTTAGTGTCTCGTACCTGTCCACATAGGTTATCACAATCACCCTTTTTAGGCCCCAACATCTTCATTGGTCACACTTTCACTTTCAATTGGTCTTCGACTCTGATACCACTTGTAACAACTCTCACCCTATTCACACACAATATTGTTCGTTTTTGACTACCCTGAACTAGAAACTTCTCAAGAGGTCACCCATCATGGTGCTACTCTTAAGTAGCACGTTTAACTTTGGAGTTTTGATGGGTTTATGGTTACCACGACTTTAAAATGCGTTCTGTTATAAAAGGGTGTTGAACCTTACATATAACACTTCACATTTCCTAAACAATGTGAGATCATGATACCTTGTAACCTGCTAGCATAGTAACTCATCTAATGTCTCACTCCTATCCACAGATATCGTCACAGTTATTACACTGAAATTTGAATTCATATTCTCAAAATTACCAATTTGAGCCTTTTCCATGGTTTAATATGGGCCATTTTTATTGAATGGTGCTACTAAAAGCGATAAATAAGAACCACTGTGACAAAAATAAACCTAATCGAATTACCATATGAGAGTGTGGCAAGTGAGATAAACTTTCAACATTTAAAATATGAAGTAAGAGTCTCAGCAAAGTGTGCAAAATTAGGTCCACTCTGCATTTAAACTGACAATATAACAACTTTATATTATTATTGTTGCAACTAAGTGTGTGCATTTAAATTCTTAATTTAATGGCAATATACGATATAATATTTTACATGATTGCATCTCTAATGTAATTGGGTTGCATAAATTTTACATCATTATTACATAAATATTGCATTTGTGATATAAAATGTCACATTATGATATAATTAATTATACATAAAATAAATACAAGGCGGGTGAAAAATAAGGGAGGATCAAATCATCGATAAAATTCAGCAAAATTGAAGACATCACCCACTACCCATGTAACCCATGCCAATAAAATCTCACATGTCACATCTCCAAATAGCAACAGTGAGCCAAATATTTATAATATGCAAATTTAATTACTATGCTTATCTATTTCCACACATTTCAATTCCATTTATTTCCATTTACCCTATCATGATAGCGTACACACACACACACACACACACATATATATCTACTTCACACACATATATTATATATAGTATATATACACACATATGTTACATATACTACACTGTACCAACTTCTACCTACTAGGTTTGTAAGCAGTAGTGCAAGACCAAAGTCAAAAGGTTCCCTAAAAAGTTTCATCGACATTGACCATCCCACCCCGTGTGTGACTTCAGCTCATCTCAGCCGTCCATTTCTTCAATCACTAAATCTAACCCTTCATTGACACGCGTTCGTTTGTGCGGCGCGAATCCGCATAATGCCACAAGAATATGCCACGTGGACGGTGAGTCCTAAAATTCCCTTACTGCCCTCCTTTGTCTAACTATGGTTACTTTGTTCCAACCCTAACTCTTAACCCTAGTCGAAGCTATATATACCCACACCTATCGGTTCCAATCGCTTCTCTCTCCATTCTCTCTCTGTAATGTTATATCTATATTTATATATATATCTATATATATGTGTGTGCGTGAGTCTGTGATTTTCAATTTCATTGAAGTGCAGAGGACATGAATAAAACCCTAGCTTTCAATTGTTTTCTTTGAATTTTAGGGTTTTAATTTTGAATGTGGATTGAGTTGGAAAGGTTATGAATGTTATAGCATTGTTGATAGCGAAGTTTGAGGAAGATCATCAATGGCGGAACCAATGAGGAGATTCGGAGTCGGTTACGCGCTCGCGCCGAAGAAGCAGCAAAGCTTCATTCAGGTTTCTCTGGTGAATCTCGCGAGAGAGCGTGGTGTCGATCTCATTCGGATCGATACGGACAAGCCCTTGGCTGATCAAGGGCCGTTCGATTGTCTGATTCACAAGCTGTGCGGCGAGGAATGGAGGAAGGAGTTGGAGGAGTATTCGGTGAGAAACCCTAATGTGTTGGTAATCGACTCGCCGGAGGCTATCGAGAGGCTGCACAACCGGATTTCGATGCTACAGGTGGTGTCGGAGTTGGAGATTGAGAGTAGCAGTGAATCGTTTGGGGTTCCGAAGCAGATTGTGATTTACGACTCGGAGACGCTCTTGGATCAGGAGAAGTGGGGGGAAGGGTTGAAGTTCCCGGTGATTGCGAAACCGTTGGTGGCCGATGGGAGTGCCAAGTCCCATAAGATGTCGCTGGTGTTCAACCAAGATGGCTTGAACAAGCTGAAACCGCCGATTGTGTTGCAAGAATTTGTGAATCATGGTGGGGTTATCTTTAAAGTGTATGTTGTTGGGAAGTATGTGAAGTGTGTGAAGAGGAAGTCTTTACCTGATGTGACGGAGGAAAAATTGAGGAGTTTGGAGCCCTCCTTGTCGTTTTCGCAGGTTTCTAATCTCACTACTCATGAAAAGAATGATGATATATATTGTAAGATGATGAATTTGGAAGATGCAGAGTTGCCGCCGGAGAGTTTCATTACTGATATTGCTTGGGGGTTGCGGCGAGCAATGAAGCTGCACCTTTTTAACTTTGATGTCATTAGGGACACAAGAATCGGAAATAGGTACCTTGTTATTGACATCAACTACTTTCCTGGGTATGCAAAGATGCCATCGTATGAGACTGTCTTGACAGACTTTTTCTGGGATCTTTTGGAAAAGAAAGAGACTGGTTTTGATGATACTCAGCAGGTGATTAGTTGCGAGAAAGAAGCAAGGAAATTGGTAGACAATAATGGCTGTGGTGAGGAGGATGATGGTTCCCTTCCAGTTTCACCTCTTAGTAGGGAAGAAAAGGAGAACTCCTTTCAAGTTTGACGATGTGTATCAAATACACATGGTGCAACTTGCTGGTCCATCCGGCGGAAGAGTTGAGTCAGCAGAATATGCTCAAGTGCGGTGATCCTCCTCTTGGTTTGTGGGTTGAAGCAAGCTGCCCACATTTCTTTTAGATAGCAGCTAGTGTAGCGGTGAATAAGTAGGTTCTTTGCTTCAGTTTCTGCATCCTGACGACATACAAGCTGTTCCTTGTGATCATGTACATTCCATTGTTGCTTTGGAGATAGGTGCTTGCTTTTCAGATAGGTAATTCTCAAGAACTCTGAAGTTTTAGGAAGTTTAAGTTCTCCTATTAGGCATATTATTTCCTGGTTTTGAAACTGTCCAAATGTGTGCCTTTGGCAACTTCAATTAATGAATTTTGTCATTTTCTCAATGATAATTCCATTTTGTTTTTCTTAGATTTAAGTGTGAGTTTATCAAATTTATTCTTTCTGTGTTCTATAAATAATTTAAGTTCATTCCTTGCGCTATTCAGGCTCTGGTATCTATCAGTTTATAACTTTATTTGTTTCTTTTTAATGTAAATATTAACTTTAATGATTGGCATGCTAACACGGTAGCATGAAGATCTCACAAGAGGCATGTGAAACGATGTTCTGTCTTGCATAAATAAATGAAGTGAAATTTGCTGTAAAGATTCTATTTTTTGCATGTTATCCTTTTCATATTTGAAATGAAAAATTTATAATGCCAAAATGGGAAAATAAACTGTGGTTTATTTTTATTCTTTTACAATGCGAGCGTGAAGCTCAATGACCCATAGACGCCTTCTCAAGCTAAAAGCTCATTTATTATATCCATTATGGAACTATGTTTGAATGAAATAGAAAGCCTTCTCTTCCACGTTACATCCATGTTTTTTTTTTGCTTCCTTATCTTGTTAGCTATACGTCTACCCAAACTGAATTGATACCCCAATTTCTATTTGCTTCCATGGAGATGGGTGTCCACATGTTTTTGAACAGCTGCTGCTCCTATTCGTTTAACTAATTTGGAAGTCTGGAACCCTCTACCATGAAGAGAAGAGATTAGTGTGATTGAGCAAGTTTACATGACCTCAAGTTACTGATATCTAGATCATGCTTATTGGTATCATATGGGACTATTTGTTATATGGTTTTGAAGCATCCTTTCAAATCGAAACTTTAGTTTGCTCAAATAAATTGCTCTGACCAGGACTGATTTTGGTTGCATGGCTTTTGATGCATTCTTTTCGAGGTAGGTTACATAGAAAGCTTTGATGAACTTTTGGAAGTAGACAAAGCGAAATCATTTTGTTTTCTCATCGGTCAAAATTAGGACGCTATTTGTCCTTGGTAGGAAAGTTTTGTAGCAGAAGTGCATGGTGGTGAGATAGCCCAGCTTTGCATTGACTATCTTGCTAAACTCAATGCAGAATCAGACTGGAGAAAGCATTTGACTTACTAGACTCATGAGTAGGCTTTATATGAGATGGCCGTCTCCAAGGGATTGTTTTTTTTTTTGCTCTTCCATCTCAGATGGCACTGAACTTAGCAAGTTCAGTTTGCGGTTATGAGCCTAAATATATGAGTTCCATAAATGATGCCTGAGGCTGGAGTTGCTCTTGTCTAGTATGAAGCTTCCTCATCCCATGTGACATAGACCTGGCATCGTTTGTGCCATCATTCACGTGTACATTGTGATGCAATATAGGCAAAGAATAATACATGTGGAGAAAGGGATTTTCGTTTTTGGAATCTCTTAATTGAGTTACTGTGAACCTGTTTGTCTTGTGTTCTTTTCCTTTGTAGGGTTTGTCTGATCAAACTGTTGAATTATACGTATGTGCCCATACCATGCAACTTATACCATATATAGTAGGTATTAGAACCATATTTAAAGTAGTAAAGATAGAAAATAGTTTATGATTTTAAATATTTCTTAAATTTCTTTATTTATGTAGATTCCAGACCTTAGGAAAAACATTCAAGACTGCTTGGGAATATTGCAGTCAATAAAGGAGGAATCCTATGGTTATTCACTTTGACTGCCTCTGACCTTTGTCCATAATAGCTGTTGACTTTTACTTCCTTTAAAGAAAAGAACCTGGAAGCTGAAAGGTCTGCTCAAACTTTGAGTTTTCTAGAAAAATGAAATGATTTGAGAAAAAGTCGGGGATATAAATGACACAGCATGCCTGACATAAATTTGTCTTATATTCCATGCTCCCAAAATGGATCCTATCAAATATTTACATTTTCGATGGTCATTTACATTATTCCTTTTTTGGGGGTGAAAATGCTTTTATTTACATTATTTGTTAGATACATAAATAACCGATCCTGTTCATCACGAATCTTGTTTCACTCTTATTTACAGGGTAAAAGAGATGCCTATTCATATGTGAATATGTATAATTTTTCATCATTCTGTGTAACTAATCTTCTCATGTACGATCAATATCTTTGGGATACCTTATCGAACAAATTTATTTCTATGGTAATAAAGAACATTGTGTAGAGTCTTACGCTAAGGATTTTTTTGGTTCCTATGGTCGTTGAAGGATCGTATCATGCATTATGTTAGGTATCAAGGAAAATCAAATTTGGCTTTAAAGTCTTCTTTTGGTTGGTTTCACAAGGGGGGAGTGTTCACAACAAGCTATAAGCATTGTCCTAGATTGAATGTCAATATGATAAGTTGACATTAAATAGATAGAATTTCTCAATACGAGAGGTCCATTCAAGTACGCTAATGTGGTTTTCCATTGAGAATAAAATACTGTTGGTATCCTGGTAACCTTGTGGCAATGAGAAAAATCGACAGGGAGAAAAAAAAAATAACAGATGGTTGTTTTGTTCTATTTCCATTCAATCTGAATTTATTTTATCATCCGAGGACCAGGATTGAGGAATTTGTGCTCATGGTCCGATAAAGACTTGGAGATGAGATTAATGAACGTTGCTTTGGGTGATTTAAGTTTTAGATGGTGTTAAAATGCCACTTTGTAGATGATATTAGTGATAAAAATCGACATGGAGAAAAAAAAAATAACAGATGGTTGTTTTGTTCTATTTCCATTCAATCTGAATTTATTTTATCATCTGAGGACCAGGATTGAGGAAATTGTGGTCATGGTCCGATAAAGACTTGGAGATGAGATTAATGAACGTTGCTTTGGGTGATTTAAGTTTTAGATGGTGTTAAAATGCCACTTTGTAGATGATATGAGTGATATGGCATAGGTGGTTTGTTTAATTCACTCGATGGGTTTCGGATGGTAGCAAAGAAGGTTGGACGGGCATTAAGGTTAGTTGGTGTTGAGATGGTGATGGTGGTGGTTACTGGACAACAATCAAAGATATGACGTAAAGGTAGTGGGGCAATGCCACTAAAAAGATGGATTACGGGTTCCAGGTTGTGGAGCTAGAGGGGCCAATGACCATGATGGTGGCGGAGCATTGTTGTTGTTTTGGTGTGGCTTCTGATGGTGGATTGCTCATTTCAACTTGAAAGCTGTAATATTATTCTTTCCAATTTGCATTAGAATGTAGTAGTTTTAATTGTTTGAGTTCAGTGAATTTGATGGCCATTGGGAGAAACTAATTCATAAACTACAGGAAGTGATTATAAACATCAATAGGTTCCCTTCTAGCAGAACACTTCCATGGCAAATACTGAATGAAATACAATGATTATAACAATAATTACTTTACCTTCTAGCAAAAAAATATGATTATAACATTAATTACTTTTTCTTCAAGCAAAAAAATTTCCACCCTAAATACTATCAAACTATACCCATGTCACTCCCTAATGGTCAACAAGGCTATAAAAAACTCTCTCTCTCTCTCTCTAATCCTCCTCTCCCCCGTACTGGTTCTTATGTCATTATCTCTACTCTTTGTCACGAAACCCCGACTTCTCTCTCTCTTTCTTTCCTAGTTGGTTCTCCCCCCCCCCCTCCGCCTCCTCCTCTCAAACTGTCACACACACACAATAGAATCATCTCATTTTTTCCCCTTTGTTGGCACTATGGATGGTTCCTCCTCTCGCTCTCTTCTCAACAGAATCATCTCATTTTTTCCCTTTGTTGGCACTATGGCTGATTCCCCCTCCCTCTCTCTCCAATTTTTTTCCCCTTCCTATCCCTTCTTGTTTCCCACTTTTGTGTTGAAGTACCCAATTTTGCCTAGAAGTACTACAGCAAGTCACACGATTCACCTGCTGGAAGTGCTGCTCTAATGCTTGGAGTGCGGATCTGCGCTGGAGTGCTTATGCAGTTGAAATCTGATAATTGCTTTTTTGAAATCCACAAATTAGAAACTTCAAATTGGTGAACTAATAGTTTGACCCCAAGTTATTAGGGGGTTCAAGTTCTCTAAAAATACATCTTGAACCTAAATCACAACTTTTGATTACCTTTCTGCCACTTGATTTGGAGTTCTGTAAGGATATTGTTGTTTGAGGAGAAGAAGATGGTGATGATTACAACATTGATGGTTGTAGGAGAAGAGTAGGAGAGGAGGACGATGATGATGAGAAGAGAAGATGGCAGGTATAATGGGCCCGACCCAAAAGCTTAAGCTGTTAGGTAGTGTTGCTTACCAGCCCTTATAAGCCCACAACCCTCCCCATCTGGATCCAATGTAAGCATCCCTCTTGGCCCCCTGGGCCACCATTTTTCCATCCCTCCAAAATTGGACGGAAGAGAGGAGGGAAGGAGAGAAAATCTGCGGCATAGATATGAAATAGCAATTTTATCCTTTAATTATTTACCAAATCTACTAATTATGGATTATTTGGATTGAGTTATTTATGAAAATGCTATCAGTTTTTTTTTGGATAATTCAGATTGATAAAAAAAAAAAAAAATAGAGCTATGACAATGGTTAACACCTGAGAATATCATAATTAAAAATTTATGTTTAGCCCACATCCAAAATTATTATAGTAATGGTTAAAAGAATTATGAAATAGGGATAAATTGGTAAAGTGTGCTCAAAACAACCTCTTTCCATCCTTCCTACCAAACAAAGGAGTGGATCTCCACCAACTCTTCCTTTCCACTCAACCAAACAAAAGGAGGGAAGGATGCCTTCCCTTTCCTCAGGCTGCCTCATCCATCCCTTGGCGCTCCCCCTCTTCCTTACATCTATTTTTCCATTCTTCCAACCAAATGAAGCACAAAGGTGGGGACACGGACCTGGCTTTCCGTGTGGTCGTTTGGTGTAACACCGGATCAAGGACCGGGCCTGTTTTGATGCCACTTGTAACTGGTTTGGTGCTTGCCGTCCGACCCAAAAGCTTAAGCTATTAGGTGGTGCTTCCTACCCGCTCTTATAAGTGCAAAGACTTCCCGTCTAGATTCGATGTGGGACAAGATTCCATAACAGGACTGTATGAGATAGTTTTTCAGTGGCAATAGTTGTTTCAGCAAAACAAGCCATTGCTTCCTTCACCTTTATGTGCAACCGTATCTCCCTCTGTTATGTTTGTTATCATTCTGGCGACAACGAAAGTGTTCATGAAAGCAGAAAGCCACAATTATTTTTTGTTAATTTGATGCAGTTTGGTCAACAATCCTCAATACTCACATTTTTCATATGGACTTAGATTATTAACTCTTTATTTTCAATAGCCTTGGATATATGATGTTGATAATCATCCTGATATTAAATTACAATTCTAGTGGACCCTTAATATATAGATATGGAGGTCTTGTATGTTTGCAGTACTTATGTATATATATGAGTGCGTATGTCTAAATACAGAAAAGTAGTTAATGTAACACACTCTGGAGGAGCTTCCCCCCTATCAATTTTTTGAACTTGGCTCTTACACGCTTTCACTCCCGTTCTTGCTTTCGCTCTTGCTCCTGCTGTGTGACTTAGATATTAATTCAGGTCAGTACATTCGTTCTTTTGTTCATACGCTAATTGTTGAATTTTGGTACAATTGGGTTTTTCTATTCATGCTTGTTAATCATGTCAGCATCTAATAATTGCAGCAATGGAACTGCAGCGGCTATTTTCCCCTGCAATGTCAGTTCTTTTTTGACTTGGCCTGGCATATTTTTTTCTAATTCAACTTACTGTTTTCATCATCATCATCATCATCATCATATATTTATTTATTTTCTCCGTTTGGCCCCTTGTTAGCATGATTTCATTGTTGCAAATTATTGACTTGCATGTTCAGTACAAATATTTTGAGAAATATTTATTGTGCATTCAAAATTTTGATCCTGTATAAAGTTCCTTTTATCTTGCAGACACTAACTTTGCCATGCCAATTTGATTTCAGTTGTTCTCTTGTTTGTGATACTTTCGGTAGATTCTTAGAAGGCTTGGGATAGCACCGGTGATGCAATTTTTTTTTTTGGTTCCTTGTGAATGTTTGGTCAAGTAGAACTTGGATGCTAATGTCTTTAGAAGAATGTCATTTTTCTCTTTGCTTTATTGCTGCAGAGAGAGGTTCAAATAATAGGATATCTTAGTGGGTGAGTTTTTGGTTGACAAGTAGGACGTGCTTATAGTTAGTGTGGTGTAGATTTCTTTTGTCTGCTTCTCTCGACTCACCTTCTGTTTTCTTTCTTGATTCTTTGTTGCACATCTTGTGTCGCTTTTTTCCGGTTGCAGTACTGTCTTTTTACAGGATTAATTTCATTAAGTGACCATGTTCTTTTGTGCAAGCCATGAGATGTCAGAATCACAATAGAATTTAAAATCTTACTGTTTGCAGAATTCTCAAGTCCTTCATAAAAGCCTGGAATTTACCAAACTGTACTTGCTCCATTTAGCGGAGTTTAAATATTTTATATAATTATAAACCATAATACGTAAGGCTAGAAATAGATTGAGTTCGATAGGTCTTTTAACTCTTGAAATTAATCAGGAATGAATTGAATATCCTTTTTCCTTAAACACTATTAGAAATATTTATTGTGCATTCAAAATGTTTAGAACTCTTTCTCAATATACATGGAAAATTAAAATTGTTATGATTGAAGTAAATTCTGGTTAAAATGTTTTAAATTCATTGTGCATTGAGAATGCTTTAAATTATTGGATCATTTATGAAAAACTAAATATACTATGACAATTAATTTTGGGTTGACCAGAATCAAGAGCCAAACTTATTAAATTTTAGTTGGCCTGCAGGTTTGTTAATTTCTTAATGACACAAGGTTAATGAAATTAGGAGTTGGTATGTTATTTGCAAATTGTTTTATAATGCGTCAACTAACATTAGATGGGATTAGGTTGTTTCTCAACCAGCTTAAATTAATATTCCATAGAGTATTAATTAACCCATCAAAGACTTGAGATGAATTTTCAAGATTAATTTCAACAGCCCCCTGGGTAGCATGCAGTAGGCACCTGAATAAACACTTCTTTTCAACTACCTCATGCCTGAATCAATTTCAATGCAGTTTTGAAATGATATTTTCTGGACCTCATTTGTGAATAATATGTACATAGCTTCACTTGTGAAGATAGTAAAGTTTACAGTGGTAGGGGTCAGAATTTATTATTATTATCAACAGTAGCTACCAGTTACTGCACAAAGTTCTGGACATGCAGTGGATCCTATCAGAAGCTATAGCTTAATGACCTAGGAACTTGTATAATCCTTGTATATATTTATAATTTTATTTCTTGATATATCTATATATTTATTTTTTCATCTTGAATACAGCAGCGAGAAAAGTCAAAAAGAGGGGAAAAAACAGCTCTAATATTAATTTTTAAAAATATATTGTGGAGAACATGATAGGAAGGTTGCTTTACGGGCAGTCCTTTCTCTCTTCCTTGTATGTGTTGTTGAGTGATGGGATAAAGTGAATTGAATAATAGGAAAAACTAATGGGAAACTATTTCAATTTTGTATTTGATTGTTCAGGAAATGTGACAAAATTTGCTATCTTGGCCCCCATAAGACGACAATAGAGTTCATATAATATTTGTTAAAACATTGGCGCATATAATTATTAGGATTAGAGTTCTTGTGTTGGCAAAGTTCCATAACAAGTGAGTTGTAATGTTCAAAAAAATATTACCGCAATTCTTGCACGATTATACTTGTTGTGGAAGATTAATGACCTAGTGGAAGTTCTGCCCATCCACTTAATTACTTCACCATACACAATCACACGTTAGACAAAGATTGGAGAAACCTTAGTTGACTTAAGAGTTTACGTTGGTTAATTCATTAGATAATCAGACTACCTGGACCTAGGTGATACTAGATGACTAATTGGGCTTAAATTAGTAAGTTTTGGTATCTTGGAGTATAAAATGGGTGAAAAGCGACAGGCGTGAACAATTTAAATTGCAAGACATTGGAGAGGGATTGATCACTTTGGATGAGAATTTGATTGCTCTACTCCAATGAGGTAGGATTGAACACTTTACACACTGATCGGCTACTCTTTCCCAGATCTCAAAATTTTCTATTCTCAATACGATTTAGTACTTGCATAAACCTTTTAAACAATATGGATATATATTTGGTTAAAAGTGACGGAAAAAAAAAAAAAAAATGGTTGATGTGCCCATAAAATTTTCCTTGACAGGATTTGCCGAGTCTGATCCAAATGCCATAAAATTAAGTGGCGACGTGCTTGAGGAGTTACGAGTTGAGGTATATTTTGTGTTAGATAGGCATGACTTGAATTCTAAATTGTAGAATGTGCATCTGATTCTTCTGTTGTTGGGTGTCCAATGAAGAAATAGAACCTAGTTCAGTAGAAGTTTCGATAGGCATCTCTGAATAGAATTTTCATTCACTCTTCAGAGATGAAGGAAAATTGGCGATTGCTTTAATCAATGTCCCCATTTCCAAGATGTAAGGATTCGATGAGGATGATATGTAACATGCAAAAGCCTTGTACTCATACCTGAGTCCATGTTACACAGTGGAGCCAATGCAGAAACTCTGTAAAACATTAAGCCCAGTGCGAAGGAGTTGCAGGATAAAGAGTATATATGACGGTGTCCTGAACTTTTCTTTTTTAAGTTTCTAGTTTGCCCAGAACAGATTTGCTATGATGCTGTAATTGCATGACGATGGACTTGTGGCACATGATATCTGTTGGCATGTAAGGAAAGCATTATTTCTACTTTAAAATATTTTTTGTCAGCCAATGGCATTTTGCTTTATTGACTCCAATATGTTTTTTTACTTGTGTAAATGCTTTCTGAAGATCTTAATAAACCTCAATAGTTCGCAATATCTTACTCTAATCCCTTATCATCAAACAAACTAATTTTTTTTTTTTTTTTTGTCAGAATGTAACTTCATTCAATATTCCCAATCAAGTACTGCTCAAGGATTACCACAGACCTCTTTTCTTGACATACCGAGATTGACAATAATATGTTATTTTGGGCTGGATTACCTTTTATCCATTTGCATTTATTTAAGTTCCATGTTTGTGGAAGAGATACGAGTGACATTTGGAAGAACTTTTATGACTGAAAGGGAATTGTAAAACTGGATTGAGAAAGTTGTCCGAGGTTGTGAAGATTTCTGTACTCGTTAGATTAATCTTCATGTACATTACTTGTGGAAACATGAGTACGGAGATCTGGCAAGGAAAGTCATATTTAAACTCTCTTCCTTGCTGGGAACTATATTGTGCCTTGTACTCGTATACTTATGTGAACCACTTGGGAGGTTTTGTTTAATGATTCTCTGAGAATAAGGGATGTTCAATCTGATACTTATTCTGGGAAGAAATTCCGAGTCTTGGCTGTTTGTTGAATTTCTTTAAGAAGATTTTCCTTTTGTGGTATTTATGTAGAAGAATCAACAATCACTGATTCTCTGGATTTTTCACCTAACGTTTTTCCATATTTTTGTGAGTTATTTATTCTCTATATTGATTAGTGTGCCTTCTTGGAATGAATTGAAATTAAGTTTCCCCACTATTCATAATGTTTCTAGTATTTTTGAAAAATACTTGTTCTGTCTTAATGAGCAATTATATTATTATTACTATTTTTAATTTTTGTCAGAATTTAAAGCTGCTCTGAATGAGATTTAAAATGTTATTAGTCTTTTCATGTGTGGCCATCTCTTGTTTGATTCATTTGAACTCGCATTTCATACGTGCTAGTATATGATTTCAGAATTTGTTCCTTGCTCATCTGCTTGTGAAAGCTATTTGTTCTTACATAAATATTCAGAATGCTAGCAGTTGTTGATTGGCTTGTTTGGAAGGCCATTTAATGGCGCGATGGCTGGTGATACTATATTCCGACTAAGTAATGATCGTTGTAATGTAACATTTTCTTTTCCTAGTAATGAAAAACGAAATGACAAGGTTATTGCAATCTTCAGTACCTCTTGTTTCATGCATAAGGCGACCCAAAGAACCATCTGTTCAGCAGTTTCTAGGTTTTGGTTGGTTCTTGATTACATTTTACCTGAGTGTGCCTTGCTTGCCTGTTATTCAAGTGTTTCATTTGTCTTGCTTGTGATTGGTGCTATTGGTCCTGCATTTCATGTTTCTCTCCGTCTTATATGGTAAAATTCTCTCTTACGCACTCTTTCCATTAGAACCAAAACGAACCTATGCCAGAGTACTACATACTATTTGTTACGTAGTTTTGTTAGTTTTGATCCTGTGACCTGAATATGGCTGCCGAGAAATGGATATGCTGAACGTGATGAGTCTGGAATTCTGCAGGTAAAGGAATATTAATCGGAGTACGTTCAAAGCTATAGATTTAATCTTTGACATTATTTTGCGTAAATGTTACTCTTAAATTCCGATAGGTATTGCTGATACCAAGTTAGGGTTCCCTGTGTAACATTTGTGTGGTGTTTAATTTGTTTTGAGAAGTTTATGCAATTAGATGTCATAAAGAAAAGAGAATCCACTATCCTCATTAACTGATTTTTCTTCACAGGCACACAGCCTCATTGATGGAGGGGTTTCCCTAATGGTCACTCTCCAGCATTACACAGTATTGTTTTTGGATGATGTTTGGGGACTGTGTCCGCCTTAGGCCGCATAAGAAGGAAGTTCCTTTTTATGGTGATGTGGTCTGGTCTAATAAAATACTGACATGTGTCCTAAGTCAAAAAAAAGGTTCAAGCCCATTTCTAATGGGTTAACCGGGATAGAATCCTATATTACATACGCAAAATTACCTATTTACATTACTCAACATCAAAACCCTAATATCCATGTTCTTATCATCCGTTTGTCCACTTTCTCCCTCATCAAAGCAACCTCTCTTTCTATGGTACCATATTTGGTCTGAAAGATTTCATACCCTTCAACTACTATCTTCTAGTTCTAGCGCAGTGGCGGTTAAGAACAAGATGAATATAATTCTTATTCCCTTTTTCATGATGTTCTATTAAGTTAACCCTAATTCAATCCTTGTATAGTAAGAAGAAGAGAGGGAGTAGTAGTGGTAGAGAGAGAGGTGGTGTTGCTAGTGGGGAGTGGCGGTGGTGGCGTCAGCGGCTGTTGGGGAGTGGCGATAATAGGGTTTAGGAATGAAATACTCTTCAATCTGTTATCCCTCTTTAATATCTTGTACACATGAGTTGGGTTAAATCATCAGTGGGTTTCATTCATTTTTGTTTTTTTGTTTTTCAAATATTACATAATTTTGGGACGCATGTCGTTATACATCACTCATGAGAAAGAACTACCTCCTTATATGACATTATTGTTTGCTGACGTTGTCTTTTAGAATTCTGTGATGAAATGGTCTATTTTTGTGTAAGTGACTTTGCGTCTGATTTCAGGTCAATGTTTCGAGACTATTAGAGAGAAAAAATCTCATGATGAGATGAGAAATTAAGGTCAACTAACAAACACGAACTAAAAGACGATTGACGAAAAGAAATGATGAGATGAGATCACATAAATCCCACGTAAATATGTTTATCAGTCACTTTCTTGTCACATTGGTTAGTTTATTAGCTTATTTTCTTATAGCTTGAATACCAATCAAATTCAATCTGATTAGCGTCTAGACAGATTCTACACTGATTGATATCTATCTGGTTAAGCAATCAGAAACCAACTTTTCTTTGTGGGATGAAGAAATGGAGGTAAAATGAAGAAAAAGCACATAAAACATCAATATATATATAAACTGTTATATATTCCTTTTGTCCCTTTTTAATTGTTCGTCTTATAAACTGTGACTGGTGGAGGTAAAATAAAGAAAAAACACAGAAAACATCAATATATATAAAAAATGTTATATATTCCTTCCGTCCGTTTTTAATTGTTCATCCCGTAAACAAGGCGGACAGTTAAAAACGGAGGAAGGTAGTATTATATATTATAGTGGGGCCTATAAGCATACTATATCTATGCAAATGGATATGTGAATTGTAGGCCTACAAATTATATTAATATGATTACACCAAAATGATATGCACGGATGAATCATATCTGATTGGTGTAGTGATGCAATGGGTGGTGAATGCCGAAATAAAAGGATCTAGAGTACAAATTGTAATTGTACACTATTTCAGTCGGTTGGATATCTATATGTGGATACTAAAATTTAGTGGGCTTTGGTTTTAACAAATGGACCAATTAAATATGAGTCTAATGTTTAATTAAGTTATTTAATTGGTTCAGGCTTGGTCCACTTAAATTATTTAATTAACCTAGCTCGGATGATTAAATGAAAAGATAATTATTCCTAATAAAATATATTTGGAATAAGTAATTTTAAGGATAATTATCATAATATAACCGGCCCGGCCCAGTTATTATTATTTTTCCTTATCATGAGATGACACGTGACATTATCCTATTAATCCAAGAAGCCTATAAATAGAGGCCTGGAGGAAGAAGAAAGGGATGCAAAAAAAAATTGAAGGTATAGAGATTCAGAATTCAGAAGTCCAGAGACTTAGAAATCCAGAGACTCAGAAGTCAGAGACACAAATTCAGAATCCAAACCCAAAAGCGAAGAACATCAAACACATCTAACAACGTGCCGTTCTTCATCAAATCCCACGGTGATCAACAATAAGCACATCCAACGACATGCCGTTCTTTATCAAATTTCACGGTGATTTAAGAATAAGCTCGTGCAGCCCTTGGATCCAACCAATAACAAAAAGGGGATCAAATCAGAAAACCATTCTTTTTGTAAAAGATATTACAAAGGATTGTACTCCAAATATTTCTGATTTAATAAATTATTATTTTGCCATATTTTGTCTTTATTTGCAGAGAACAAAATTTGTGGTTACAAATTTCTGGCACGCCTAGTGGGACCCCTTTGCCTCTTATCTCTCTCCTACCATCAAGTTTCTTCTCTGTCAGATTCTATGGCTCTACCTAAGGCTCAGACAGACAAGAAAGCCCCAAAGAACATCGCTGCTGCAAAGGTCGACGCCAAAGCCACCATGAAAAGTGGCACGAAGGCCAAATCAAGTGATGGAAGTACCTTGGCGGGCCCTGTGACACGTAGCAAGTCCCAGGCAATCGCGTCATCCAAATATCAGCAAGACTTGGTGAAAACCACTCTTGCAAAGCCGACAAACGTGAAAACCCAACATGTCAAGAACCCTGACGTTGTTCCAGAGGAGATTCCGCCACCAGATTCACCTCATTCCATCCATGATGTTCACTCTAGTGTCGGTTCACCCCCAGAGTCACCAATTCAGACTTCGGAGCATTAAATCACTTTAAGAAACGTTGACTCTCAAGGCCTATCATACTCAGATGTGGTCGCTGCTATGATGACTGGAGCTGCCATGGTGGAGGAACAACTAGTAATTATGTCTCGTGCCATTGAGAACCTCACAAAGACTGTTGAAGAGAAAGACTTACAAATCGCTACGCTGATAAACAAATTAGAAGTTCAGACCTTCGGTGAATCACCAGTACAATCTGGGCATCCTACATCTTCCACAGCACCGCCAACTGGGAATCGTGCAACTTTCACACCACCACCGTCTGGGAATCTTACATCTTCCACAGCAATGCCGACGGAGAATCCTAATTCTACCGCATAAGGTACTCGCATGGAGGACCCCAAACAGACGCTAGTGACAGAACAGGTGGCTAGTCAAAATCAGACGCCAGTAACAGAATAGACAGCTAGTCAAACCAATCATGCTTCTTCAGTCTCTTCATTATCTGTCGCACAATTGCAAGATATGATAACAAATACAATCCGAGCCCAATATGGAGGCTTTTCACATAACACTCTCATGTACTCAAAGCCTTTTACAAAGAGAATCGACAGTATGAGGATGTATGTAGGATACCAACCTCCAAAGATTCAGCAATTTGACGGAAAAGGTAACCCCAAGCAATACATTACCCATTTTGTCGAGACTTGCAACAATGCCGGAACAGGGGGATTTACTAGTTAAACAGTTTGTCCGCTCCCTTAAAGGAAACGCGTTCTAGTGGTACATCGACCTAAAGTCAGAGTCAATTGATAGTTGGGACCAAATGGAACGAGAATTCTTAAACAGATTCTATAGCACTCGTCGTACTGTTAGTATGATAGAGCTGACTAACACAAAACAATGGAAGGATGACCCTGTAATCAACTACATTAATCAGTGGAGAGCATTCAGTCTTGATTGCAAGGACCGATTATCAGAAACCTTTGCTGTAGAGATGTGTATGTAGGGAATGCATTGGGGCCTTTTTTACATTCTGTAAGGTATAAAACCTCGCACATTTGAAGAATTGGCTACGCGTGCCCATAACATGGAGATCAATATGAAATCCCATAACGGCAAAGGTCCCGTGGCCATAGAACCACGCAAGGATAAGAAAGACTGGAAGAAGGGCGATAAGTGGTCAAAGACCGCTGCTAAAGATTCCATGGCTATCTTAACCACCCCAATCAAGATATCTGTTAAAGATGAC